GGATACACAGACAGTCAGACAGACAGACAGTCAGACAGACAGACATATAGACGGTTACACAGACAGACAGACGGGCAGACGGAGAGATGGACGGATAGACAAAGACCAGCCTAGACCCCGCTGCTGAAGCCTCTTCCTCCAACACCGCTGCAGCCGCAGGGAAGCGCAAACCCTCAGACGGGCCGTTCTCCACAATCAGCCACCACAGCAACCCTCGGCATCCGTCTGTCACCAGAGCTGTCTGGGGGCCCCGGCCGTGCCCACCGCTCTCGGGCCCTAAGTCCCTCTCTGAGCCTCAGTTTCCCCGCGTGTAAGGGGGCGGGCGGCTGACAGGGCGCCGGGCCTGGAGCGAGGAGGAGCCGAGTTAAATCCGGCCTCAGACATTTACCGGCTGTGTGGGCCTGCCTGCCTCAGTTTCCTCATCTCTCCAGCACTCCGCCCGGAGAGCCCCACGCGAGGTCACGAGGGCTCGGACCCGACTGAAATGACCGGACAGCGACGGGAGCGGGGGCCTGCAGGCCTCGGTCCCGGGCTCCCGGCTCAGCAGACGAGCCCCCGCGGCCACTTAACACACGGGGACACTGAGGCAGCGCGGGCTCTGCGCGGGGGGATGGGGGGGAGGCACTCACAGAAGAACTCGGCCACGATGTCGGCGCTGCCGCGCAGGGTGATGCCCTGGTCCCGGGTGAGCTGCCGCTCCATGGTCACGGTCACGGTCACGGCGCAGCGGCGCGAGCGCGAGCTCCCTCACAGCAGCCCCGCCGCCACGTTCAAAAACAACCGCGCCGGGAGCGTCACCGCGCGCGCCTCGCCCGGGGCGGGGCTCGGGCTCGACGCACGCGCACTCCCGTCCGCCGCGAGCGTGCCGCTCCGCGCAAGCGCCTTCCTCCACGGCCCCCACCCTCGCGCAGGCGCGACGAGGCATCGTGCCGCTTCCCGCCGCTCTTTCAACCTCCTGCGTCCTGTTGTGGGCGGAAGGAAGCCTCTGTCCCTCGGCGCAGGCGCGGCCTCTCCCCACGCGCGGCCTCTCCCCACGCGCTCCACCCCGCCCTGCGTAGTGCGTTGCGCAGGCGCAGTCCCTCTGGCACCCCGGGCTCGTAAGTGAGCGGTGGAAGTAGAGTCGTAGAAAGCGAGTGCCCGCCAGTGACCCGCCCATGGCACAGATGAGGAAACTGAGGCCGGGAGCCAGTGAGCGCCTCGGCCCGCACGAAAGCCAGGGGCGCATGTCCTTTAGCAACCACAAAGGCAAAGGGTTGTTGTTTGAAGGGTGGGACCCCTCCCCACCCCCGGAGGATTTACGGAAGGAGCGGACCAGACGCACCCGGGACGAGAAGCGGGAGTGGGCTGCGACCTTCACCGCCTCCGGGCATTTGTTCGTGACCCCGTGTGGGGCTTTCTCGGCGAAGACGCTGGAGCGGCTCGCCATCTCCTTCTGCAGCCCGTTTGGCAGAGGAGGAAGCTGAGGCAGGCAGGGTCGAGCGACTGGCCCAGGGTCACACAGCCGGTCCGCGTCCTGGAGCCGGTGCCGTGCACTCTGGCGCCGCCCAGCGGCTCGCCCTGGACCACGCATGCGCCGTCCGCGGCGTCCCCGCGTTGGCCCGCCCCCCCCCCCCCCCGTGACGGGCCCCCCCCCCTGCCGTCGGGCGCTGCCTTTGTGACCCCTCCCCCCGGGCGGCTGATTCGCTCCATCACGTGACCCGCTGACCAGTTCGTAGCCATGACCTTGACCTTTTCCAGGTCTGGTAAATATCCGGTAGAGGTCAGGGCGAGAAGGACCTCGGAGGTCGTCTTTCCTAAGCCCATACTCGTCTGCGGGAGTTTAAACCGTTTGCCCAGAGACGCTCTTGAGCGAGAATTTGAATTCAGGACCGCTGAGCCCGCATCATTTCCCTTTCAAACGTACCAGCTGATTGTTAAAGCCAAACGAACGCTGTTGTTGTTCATCCTGTGTTCCTGAGAGGACCGGGCACGGGAGGGGGCCGGGAGGGGGCCGGCCCGACTCGCCAGTGAATTGGGTTTAAGTGAGGCAGAGCTGTGCAGAGCCCTCAGCCTCACTCTCTCCTCCAGAGCCATCCGAGTCCAGTGGCCAGAGGAGAGGCCAGATGACCGGTGGTAGCCCCCGTTTAAACAGAATGTTGAAGGTGTGTCCGGACTGGGACGATTGCTCAGGCTTTGCTAATCTCCACGTGTACCAGACATTGTCATTTTAATTTTTACTTCCCACAAAAAGATAGAACGTTGCTCAATATACGGAAAAAAACAACATTTCTCTCGTAGACTGTCTAATATTTTGTGTGCTCACACACCCACACAAAGGCAAATATATGGAGATGTTGTGATTAATGAAATCCACGTTCATTTAAAAGCATTGGACAGCTAGTGTTGGAGTTATGAAGATTTGAGTTAGAATCCTGACTAGAATGTCGGCCAGCTGTGTGACTGGGGACCTCAGTTTCCTCATTTGTAAAACGGGGGGAGGGGGTGTTAATAGCACCTATTTCCCTGCGTTGTTGTGGGGATGTGAAGCTCTCTGCAACCCTTTAGAGCTTTATAAGTGCTGGCTATTTACAAGTACCTCCTCATGCTAAATGTCTCCGCAAGTGACCTCAGCAGCAGGTCAGTCACAAAATTAGAGAACCTGAAAGTTGGACGGCCCATCAGAGGTCATCTGACCCCATTCATAGCTGTATGGGAATGCCCTCTACCAGTCCAAATAATAGCCACCCAGCTTTTGCTTGAAGCCTTCTTTACATGGAAAATCCACCATTTCCTGCAGCATTTCATCTTTGGACAGCTGTGATTTCCAATAATTTTTAAGTCATTTTTCAGTCATGTCTGACTCTTCATGACCCAATTTGGGGTTTTCTTGGCAAAGACACTGGAGTGGTTTGCCATTTCCTTCTCCAGCTCATTTTACAGATTAGGAAGGTGAGGCAAACAGGGTTAAATGACTTGCCTAGGGTCACACAGTCTGTCTGAGGTCAGATTTGAACTTGGGAAGATGAGTCTGACTCTAGACCTGGCTCTGTATCCCATTGAAGCGCCTCGTGCATATTTCAGTGCTGTGTGAAAATATTGAAGGACTCTTTCATTCTTGAAATTTTGGCTTGAAAAAGAACTGATTTTAAATAGGACTTTCCTTCTGTGGACAAAGGGGACCCCAATAAAGGGGTTTAACAGAAATCTTTCTGGAAATTAAACCAATTGGCCAGAAGATGGCAATGTTTAGCTATGAAACAGGCAACTTTAAAAATCCTAAGAATTTGGAAACTAGGTTCTTAGAAGCAGGAAGGACTTTGGAGGTTATCAGTGGTGTGCCTCTGACACTCCTTTCTTCTCTTTCACAATCCTCCCCTCCTCTATATTACAGAAGAGGAAGCAATCAGGAGCTCCTAACAGCCCAGTGTTTGTTCTAGCATTTCCAGTTTTAAAAATATGTTCATTTTAGACAGTTCTGCTAACTTCTGATAGTGATGAAAAAGAGACCTAGGAAATTATGAATTCATATAGATCAAACTTTTTGAGTAGAATGATTTATAATATTCCTCTCCCCCCTCCCACTGGCATCCTCAAACGCCTTGCCTTTTCTAATAAATATAGCTGTGTTCTTCAGTGTTGTGGGTTACTTTTATCGAAAATGTCATTGCCTGGCCCTCCATCTTCTGATCTACTTAACTCACTCTACTTAGTGAGATGGGATTTGATTTGAGTCTTGAAGAGCAGATACTGTCAGTCTTGGCCTGTGTTGATAGAATCATAGATTTAGAGCAAGGGGGCCCTTAATAGCCATCTAATCCAACTGCCTCATCTTACAGATGAGGAATCGAGGCCCAGAGAGGAAGAGGGATTTGTCCAGAGGCACATAGATAGTGTCAGGGATGGACTTCAAACACTCTGCCTCTTGCTACTTTACCCAAAACCTCTGTGGCTTGGTAGAATCGATGAAAGCTTTTGTGCCTCTGGTGATGATGCAGGGTATGCCAATGATGTATCAGAAAAAGGCTTTGGTGGTATAGATAGTATACTAATTGTATCAGGTCATCCCTAGTCATTTGGTTATCCTCACCCAAAAAAGAACGCGGAAGAAAAATACATGTTGCCCAGTATGTGATTGGATGGGCAGTTGTATGAGTTAATCAATCAGAATACATGTGTGTATGTCCCTCCTTGCATGACTGTATTCAGACCCATTGGAAAAGCAAGAGTTTTCCTTACTGGGAAGGATGCAGGTCTTCAGCTCCACTCAGTTTCACCCTAGTGGTGATTTTATGGACCAAGATTGACTTGAGGTGAGTGCCATGGAGTTTAAAGAAGTTTCCTTACCCTGCCTCAGATCAAACAGCAGGCTGAGCTTGGAAGTGGAAACTCACTGACACCATCTAAAGAAATAGAGAGACTAACAGGGTTTGAGGGTATCTCAGGGTGGTTATTGCCTGGTTTGAATAGCAACAGAGCTCACACCTCCTGAGATTAAAATCCTAAAGGAGCTGATAAAATCCTTCCTTGGTTTGGCTTCTCAACTTGTCACCTTCCTCCCTTCACGGCCTTCTTACATTTCAGGCCCTACCAGATGCTTCAGCGACAATCACTTTCCATGAACGTGATGCTTCCTTGAACGGGCTTCTGCTCTGGCTGGCCCCCATGCTCCGTGGTTTCCAGGGCTGTCTTCAAGAGCCAGCTCAAATCTCGCTAGGCCAGGAGGCCTTTTCTGGTCTCAGCAGCTGCTAGTGCCCTCTCCCCTAAGGTTACCTTCGGTCTGATCTGTGTATGTCTCATATGGGCCTAGTTATTTACGTCTTGTCTTCCCCATTAGAATGTGGGCTTCTTGAAGGCAGGGACCATTCTTGTCCTTTGTATCTTTAGAACTTAGTACAGTGCCTAACTCATAGTAAGTGCTTAATGTTGGCTGATTGACTCGATCTTGTTTAAAATCTTGCCTCTGTCAGTTATCATCTGTGTGGCCCTGGACAATTCGTTTAACCTCTCTGGGCCTTAATCTCATATTTCGTACTAGATGGCTTCTGAGGTCTCTTTCTGCTCTAGAAAAGGGTGTACCCTAAGGCTCCGTCATGGACATTCATCTTCTCTTTAGTGATCTCATCACTTCCCATGGATTCAATTATCTTTCCCATGCTGACAATTCCCAGATCTACATATCCAGCCCTCATATCTCTTCTGGGATCGAGTCCAGCATTTCCAGCTGCCTGCATCCATCTCTACCTGGATGGATTGTAGGCATCTCCAATGCAACGTGTCCAGAACAAAATCCATTATCTTTCCTCCCCAAACTACTCCTTTTCCAAACTTCCCTATTTCTGTGAAGAGCACCGCCAGGTTATCAATCCCATGATTCTTCCCATGAGTCATGAGTCATCCCAGATTCTTCATTCTCATTCACCTCTTACCCTCCCATCCTATCAGTTGCCAAGTCTTGATTCCATTTGCTTGACATCTCTCCCATCCATCCTGTTCTCTCTCATTCATACCACAATTACCCTCGTCCAGGCCCTTATCTCCTCTTGTGTTGAGTTAGCCCCCCTAATTGTTCTTCCTGATTCCAGGCTCCTTCCTCTCCAATCTGTCTTCTATAAAGCCACCCAATTCAAATTCCAAGAGTGCAGGTCTGACCACATCACTTTCCTTCATAAGAAGCCTCATTGCCTCCTTGGGGCCTTTAGGACAAACTGTGAACTCCTCTCTTTAGGATTTAAAGGCCTCAGTCTGGCTGCAGTCC